TCAGAAAATCCCTTTCATCTCTTAGACATATTCTAAATGCTTTTATCAACAGGAAATTATTGGAGTAAATGCTTTGGTAAAAGCCTGTCACCTGTTCTTTGCCACACTTTTTAGCTTAATTTATAAATACAAATTAACACCCAAACACATTCAAAGCTATATTGATGATTGTCATGGTTTAAACCCAGCCAGCCAGCTCGTTCACTCACACCCCCGCCAGTCCAGCAACCAATGCACAACACAAATCACCACTGCTACCACCAATGACAACAATGATAAGAGAAAATAACAAGGGAAGAGAATACAATACCACCGTCCAAGGAACGAGTCCGACCCAGAAGACCCCATATCCGTGTCCTTCTGGGTAACTCCCAGTCACGCCCCCAGGCATGACGTGCTGCGGTATGGAATACCTCTTTGGTCAGTTTGGGGCAGGGGTCCTGTCTCTGCTTCCTCCCGGCTTCCCCTCCTCCCTGGCAGAGCATGAGGCTCACAAAGTCCTTGGTCAGAGTAAATATTACTGAACAGCAACTAAAAACATTGGTGTTATCAGCGCTGTTCCCAGGCTGAAAGTCAAAACACAGCGCTGCCCCAGCTACTAAGGACAAAAATTGACTGCTACTGCTGAACCCAGGGCAATGATTTTGACATTTCAAATACTGTGGCTCATTTTACCTTCATGAATCCAATATCTGAGTGTAAAAAATATTATTTCTTGTCTCATTTACTATTCTCTGGCTCATATACATTATTCACCGTATTGTTGGCTACTGTGTTTTATATATGGCTAATTTGAAAGGATGCAGTAGGGCAAACTCCAAAATGGCCTGGAAACAAGACAAACAAGACATCCTACACCCTATATGTTGAGCTACTGGCACTGTTCACAGCTGAACCCCTCTGGCTATTTAGTTTCTAGTAGCTCTTCTGGGATCCCACAATCACTCATTCACTTTTTCTCACTATGTTCCCTGCAAAGTAAATCACATTCCTCAGTTAAAAAACGAAATTACTAAGCTATTCAGAGACTACTTTTGAAAAGGGATCCATACACTTTTAAATAAGTGAGGTCTCTGAAATGATTTCCAGCTATTGAAGGGAATTCTAGATATTTATCCCTCTGAAGGCCAGAAACCATTATCCAATTTCCATGATAAATAATATCCATAGTTTATGTCAGTTTTTAATAATATTTGGGTCGGAGCAATGCCAGGCACAGCTACAGGTTGGGCAGAGAAGATATTCAGAGCAGTCCTGCAGAAAAGGACTGGGGGGTGTTGGTCGATGAGAAAATGAACATGAGCTGGCAGTGTGCACTCACAGCCCAGAAAGCCAACTGTATCCTGGGCTGCATCAAAAGGAGCATGACCAGCAGGTCAAAGGAAGTGATCCTGCCCCTCTACTCTGCTCTTGTGAGACCTCACTTGGAGTATTGTGTGCAGTTCTGGTGTCCTCAACATAAAAAGGACATGGAACTGTTGGAACAAGTCCAGAGGAGGGCCACGAGGATGACCAGGGGACTACAGCACCTCCTGTATGAAGACAGGCTGAGAAAATTGGGGCTGTTCAGCCTGGAGAAGAGAAGGCTGCGTGGAGACCTCATAGCAGCCTTCCAGTATCTGAAGAGGGCCTATAAGGATACTGGGGAGGGACTCTTCATTAGAGACTGTAGTGATAGGACAAGGGGTAACAGGTTAAAACTTAGGGGAAGTTTAGATTGCATATAAGGAAGAAGTTCTTTACTGTAAGGGTGGTGAGGCACTGGAACGGGGTGCCCAAGGAAGATGTGAAAATCCTTGGTTGTGTTCAAGGCTGGGTTGGACAGAGCCTTGGGCAACATGGTTTAGTGTGAGGTGTCCCTGCCCATGGCAGGGGGGTTGGAACTAGACAATCTTCAGGTCCTTTCCAACCCTAACTCTTCTATGATTCTATAATATTAACATACCTGATTTTCCACCACCTTTATGAGTCTTCACCCCTTCCCCCTCCCCCCAAGCTAAATAAATTAAGCATGATTGTTTTTTATGAGGAAATAGCCATTTCCTCTTCCTCATGTGCCTAGCATCAGGAAACTGAATGCTTTTATCTATGCTGCCTTTGGTAGCTATGTTTCAGTTTGCACAGCCAATGCATGGAGCCAACTGTTCCTATGCTGCTGGTTGAGACGGACCCCACAAGCAGATTTGTCATCTCACTCTTGGGGTGCTCAAGACTGGAGCCACAGTTTGTGCAGCACAGCTAACGGGATTGAGTGTGAGGCACAGCATCTGAATAAATATGTTTGTACAGACATTATCTGGAAAAGGAACTGAATAACTGGACTGAGCTAATGGTGAAAACCTATGGCAAAACAAACCAGCATCCTTTCTACAAAACTAGGCCCTAACTATACAGGTTAATTTCTATGTTTTATTACACTCAAATTGGATTGTTGGCTTATAATTGAATTTCAGAGGGTTTTTTTCCTTCCATGAAGGTGTGTGTTTCTCTGTGTTAAAACCAAATAAAAACTGTAACTGTGTCCAGCAGCAGTATTATGAAAACACATCAAAACCAGGTGAGATATAACAGTCAGAAATACCCTACTTTATCTGTGTACCCAGATTAACCTGGGCAAGCTGGTAGAGTGAAATTTACTGCGTTCCCATTCAGACCTGAACTCTGCAGATGGTATGCATGACCTTGGGTAAGGCACCCACACACAAAAAATCACAAGGATTTAAATAACTAATTCCCAAGAAAGCCAATGGGCTTAGGGCACCTAACTCTATGTGAGGACCTGGGACTAAACTCAAATGTGGCTAAATCCTCCATGTGTTAAGAATAAGGTAAATTTGTTTTCTTCTATTATGTTCCATTGTTTTCCTACCTTCTTACATCCTAACATCTGTAGGACCAGGACTTTCTGCTCCTGTATGTGGATGAAGTCTTATATGAGGGACAAATGCGATCTCTGTTTTCTGAAGCCTGTGGATATTCCTTGAAAAAGATCCTTATCATTACACTTTTTCTGAGGAATGTGGGCCTCTATTGCCATACGTTATCTGCAATAGACTCTGACAGCACATCTTTCTCTGCACCAATAGATAGTTAAGAAATAACTATTCATCACCAGTTCTTCTCTAGACTTGTTTCTTAAGACATAGAAAATTCCTGTAATCATCTCACATTTATGTGCCCATCTGCCTTGACTGTAGTGGCTATTTTCAACCAAATTTGTTTCAGATTTGAAAATACAATATTCCTACATGTTTAATGATAAGGTAAATGAGGGAGATGATAAAAATATAATTGTACCTTCTTTCTGAAACTAATTCATCTTTACCATGAACATGGCCTCAATCGTGTCACAAATCTCAAACACACACCAGATTCCTCATCCTAGTGAAGAAACTTCATTCTGGTAGATACAAATACGTAAGTCTCAGTCCCAGGCACTTTGCAATGTACATGAAACCAGTCACACCTTCATGATACCGGAATGTCTGAATTTATTCTATTTTTAGTTAGAGCCAGAACTGACAGATCCTGATATATAACAACAAACCAAGTGAAGCAAACATAAAAATTCTATGGAGAGATCTAGAAAAAAAACAACATTATTAAACTCGGGAGTTTTGAAACAAAAGAAAACAGAAAATAAGCTAGGTGAGAAAACCATTTATCTAGGCTAGTCCAATCTTACAAGAAAAGAAAGGTCCAGAAGGCATTAATTCCACTTCTGTGTTATTATCCTCAAAATACATCGCTGCAATTTGGACACATAAAATGTCTTCAGCAAGCTTGAAGTGTAACATGTTGACAAAGAAATATGTGCTATTATTTTGAGCTTCTAGGTCACCTGCAAGACAGCAATACAAACAACCTGGCTAATATAGCCAAAAAATAAGCAAGTGTTTCAGACTGTAGGCAGAGTAGGAGGGGAAAAAAGAATTGCTAATATAATGAAGAAGGACAGAAAATGAATACCAGGTTGAGAAGAAACATGTTTGTGGAATAGGTGTGTCAAGAGAGATAGCTGCATAGTTCATCTAAATGACAATATGAATGTTTTCTCCTCAGGCTCTGTTTCTTTCTCTGTCTTGTATTTTTTTTTTTTTTGTTGTTCTTGCTTACAGCAAGTTGCTGGAAGGGAAATGGTGTGAATCAATGATTACTATCTCACTAGTCTTTTATGTCTTCAAACTTCTCCCTTCTCCAGAGGCAGCTGAGACAGAAACAAATAATCCGTTTAGTGACTGTCATAGCATGATAAAGAAAACAACGCAGCACAGGGATGAATGTTTGTGGGTTTAATTCAATCCTTGTTAATAGATAGTTTAACAGGTGAAACATGTTATCTATGGGGCTGTAGATAATTTATGTGCTTCAGCTATTCCCAGTTGATTATTGGTCTTTGCTATTTCTCAGTGGCTTGCCAACTATCTAAGCAATTATATGTATCTTATTTTAGCTCCATCAAACTGTACTCCAAAACTTTTTTTAGTTACAGCTGTGAAAATAAGGAGCGCACCTGAGGGGAAAAGATGCAAGAAATCCTTCAGTGCTTCCATTCAAGGGAAAAGCATGCAGAAACATGGTAACACTGATATCCACTTGTGCAGAGGTAAAGCCTCCCAGGAGTGGAAAGAGACCAGATGACATACTCGGAAAGAAAACCTGTGCAACCTCAAACATTAAAATGTCTTAACAGTGGCCTACCTTTAGCAGTTTCAGAAATCAATAAGAACCCAGAGCAATCCTTTGGTGGTTTTAAAACTACAGATCTACAATAATTTCAGGGAATCATTATAGGAGCTAAGGACATGGTTGAAGGGATGCTCACTTCCAGAATCATAGTCATAGAGAAATGTGAGCTGGAAGGGACCTCAGGAGGTGTCAGTCCAGCCTCTTATGCCAGGGAAGTTGTCTTAAAAATTGTGACTCCTACAATTGGCTCAGGCTGCATGTTTAGCTCAAGCAGAACAATTGCATGCTGCAGAGCTTGCCAGGGTTGACTTGCATTGCAGGTGATGATGCATGGATACTGTATGTGCTGATGGTTCCCATCTGTTCTTCAAAGAAAATCAAGTAAGTTTTTGTAAGTTTTTGCTTCTTCTTGCCAAGGTTGATCAAATTGGGGTGTTTTGAATGTAGGCTCTTTTCTATCCTTCCACTGTCAGACAAAGGAAAACATAACAAAGGCAGGGATTCACAACAGTAGTATAGACAGACTTATTAGTATAATCTTACTCTGAAAGTCAATCACACATTGAGGGAAAGAGACAGTTAACCTTGAAAGAGGCTCAGCAGTGATTCAAGATGCTGCAAAAATATGGGATTTCTTGACAGATTTTCAAATACCACAAAATAAAACTGCATATTTGCAGCATAGAACCTGCAAACACATCTTATTTCAGGAAAATATGTCTTTGAGTTGCTGGGTAATTTCTTTTAATAAAGAACTGAAGATTCAGCTTATAAACCCAGAGACAAATCCTGGGATATTCAAAATGTGCTGAATGCTGACTGAACACTATTGCCGCTTAAATAGAAAGAGCAGATTGACTGATTTTGAAAATCTCATCCCCAAAGCCAACCAGAGTGTTTAATCTACCCCTCAAGTCCAATATAAGTTCACATTCTGATGGATATATTGTACTGTCCAATTTTAAATGACCCAGAGCATAAAATTTGATATTCCTGTATAGTTTTATCAACTTTCTCCTTAAAAACATTTTCCACACCTTCAGCTCATCTTTAACTATTCTCTCCCTACTTCCAACTATTTTTTGGTGTCTGCAAACAAGAGGCATTTGAAAACCCTCAACAGGATTTCCTGCAAAGCATTAAGTACTCTTGCAGAAACGGGCTGCCCACTGTGGTGAAGAAGTAGAGATCAAAACAAACATCTTCCTTTCAACATGGCATAGTGAAAAGAGGCAAAATGTTAAGAGGGAGTAACAACATAAAATCATAAAATTTATCCATACTTGAAAGTTCCATATTGTTACATCCTCTCTGATTAGTTAGGAGTAGCTCATGGAAATATTGCCCAGTAACTTAAGAAAACAAGGTGAACTTTTAGAAATATTTCTCCTAGTTTCTTGCTTGATTCTAACATATTGTTCCCATATTTCCTCTTTTTTGGTGTTGTCTCTTTCCCTTTCTCCCAAAACAAGACAAAAAGCCAAGATCTGCATTACATGCCTGCTGAGAAGTAGTAACCATACATTGGCAAAATTACATTTACAACTTGGTAGGGGATGAAAAACAGCTCAATATGACAAGTTACCTTATGCATACTGGGGGGGGAGGAAAAAAAAAAATCTCTCTAAAATAGAAATTGCAAGCTTACCCGATGCTACCTACTAGCCTCAAGCTTTAACTGTGACAAGGGCATAACTGCAGCATCACCAACATGCTGTGAAAGCTTCTGCTCACGGTTCAGGCATAACTAAAGTGATGAAGCCTGTACAAACCCCAATAGGTAGTTTCCATTTGTGGTGATGTCTTTTCAAGGCAAGACAGGACATGGAAACATCAACAAAAAAAGTACATCAAACCATGTATATAGGAGATGTCAGGTTGGCTCAGATTTCTAGCCCAACATGCCTTCACTGACAATGACAACTGAATTTACCTCCAAAGCTCATCGGGGAACACCAACAGAAGAATCACCAGGCCAGCTAAGAGTTCATAGCCCCTTTCACCTCCCAAGAAAGACAGGGCAAGCTCTGTAGCACATATGTTGTGAGCTGGTATGCTGCTGAAGAGACCATGCGCTGTGGAAGAGGGAAGATAACTAAGCTCAGATGGCTCTAATAAAAGCAGATGATGCTGTCAACCCCAAAACATTGGACATGCAGCAAGATATCCCTTCCTGCCAAGGACATACAGGAACTGGGAAAGGTTCAGAGAGCAGCAATGCTTACCAAATGTATAGAGAATCCTGTGGATGAGAAAAAAAGAGCTTGGAAGCAGAAGGAACATGGAGAGTATGGATGGGAGCTGATCATCATTTCACAACCACAAGAATTTGGGCATGCTATGTGAAGCTATTACTTGCTAAGTTCAAAACAAACAGAAAAAAACAGGGTTATTTACCCCATAGGGAGTAGGAAACTTATAGAGCATGTAGCTAAAGGATGTTGTAGATAGTTTATATACATTCAATAGTAGAGTGATTAAGTTCGTAACAGAGAATCCATTGACAATTATTATTGACATGGTATTTTGGAGTGCACTGGGGTAATTAATGTGTCACGGATGCTTGTGCTGTTCTCAATGTGCTCTAGACATTTGCTCATGACCACAGTTAGACACTGGGCTAGAAAGAATCTATTCCCCCCCCCAGCCTTTTTTTTAATCTGATCTAGTGCATTTTTTCTTACCTTCAGGGAGGCTGGCTATAACCAAGGTAGCTTCAATGCACTGGCATTCAATTTCCCTGTGAGAAAATGCAGCAAGGCTATACTGACCAGCATATGCCACTGCACTGGGAAAGTCTGACAAATACTGAGATTAAATTCCCTTCCTCCACCCCAGTGAGCTCAACCTAGAGCGAATCTGGTGAGGTTTCTTCATCACTGGCAAAGCAAGTTCAGATATTTCTTGCTGTCATACTATCAAGCTGGCATGTAATCTCTTTGCTCCCTTTCAAATGACTTTTAAAATCATTGTTTTGCAGCCCTTATTTCATACCCAACCACCTGGCAAAAGGGCATTAGAGCTGAAGTGATATTTCTGGAGAAGGCATTTTCTCTTTGGTTTGTTTTTTTTGTGCCTATTTTTTTTTCTTGAGGTTGTTGACAGCAAATGGTATCTGTAACATTTCTGTGCCTAATTTGATTTCCAAGCTGTTAGAGACCTGGCACAAGCATAGTAGGTTTTGTCAGTGTCGAGGGATTTTTCGTCTGAGAGACTAAATTAACTCTGTCTTTTCTTCTGCGCTTTCCTGAACAAAATTGAAAAATGTGGAGCTAAAGCAAATAAAAACAAAACCAAAAGACTTAAAGGTCTGACCATGCAGAGGAAGACAAGTGATTAGATTTTCATTTTAGCCTGACCACTGGGATTAGCAATCCTTAGGGTGAGACATAAACTGAGACATCTAAAACAAAGGTGAGACATCCTGGGTTCTTTTTTTGCTGAACTCTTCATTAGCTGATGTTCACAAAGGATTCATCTGGAACAAAAAGTATTAAATCATCACTCATAACAAACCATTGCTAGAGAAAATTAGATAAATACATAAACCCAGGAATTTACAGCTCTGGTTCTGAAGAGACACAAATGCCAAAATTCAGAGCCATATAGTTAGCTGTGTTTCAGTAACATGAAAAAAAGTGATGAGCTCACAGGCATTACTCAAAGAGATATACTATCCCTTTGGATAACTGAGTAAACTGAAGATATTTCATAAATGGTGTCAGACAGGCTGCACAGGAGGGCAAGCACCGTGGGAAATCTTGCCTTTGGCTGAACATTTCTGAACGTCTCAGTCAGGGCTGAGCTCGGCTCAGAGCTTGCCAAGCACCGAATACTACTATAAAGATGCTGTGGTGCCCACTACATAGATACTGCCAATTGGTATGGTCAAAGACAAACTGTAAGGGAAGCACTTCACATATTAGTTACAACAGTAGTCTATAACAGATAACAAGCAGCATGCTTAATAACACCTTGTAGGATGTGTGTAGAAGGAGGAAAAAAAAATAAAAGCAGTAGCACAAGACTGAGAAGACCTCACTTCAGATCCTGGTGCTTCCACAGGTGTTTGGACAGACCACGGACAAAAGGCCTTGTCACCATTTGGGTTTGCTTAGGATTGGAGGATCCAAGCCCAGGAGAGACCCAGGTCAGCTTTTGGGAGCCCAGGCATGGCCAAGTCTGCTATGTGTGTGCTCACTTCACCTCTCTGTGACTCAATTTCCTAGCTCTGAAAAGGACTGAGAGTTGTTTCCACTTGCCTAAGTGGCTTGTAAATCCCCTTCAGGACTTTGAAAATAGAAACTGCAGCAGTTTGGAGCCTGAACATTTGCTGCTCATCATCCTCGTTGTTCACCGGTGAGCTGGATTTCATAGAAGGCCTTGGATTTTGTGAGATGCCTCACTTGAACACATTTTGGCCCATGTTTTTGTGATGGGAGCCTTGTTTCCTAAGCCATCAAAGATTGAACACACAGTGTGATGCCAAGACAAACTGAAGATTAAGCGATGGAGTCTTTGACATGCAGGGAAGCTAAATTGCTATAGAGAACAAGCTTCTGAATAGCCTTGACATTTTCACTGAGTGTACACCTGCAGATGCTGCATTCTGCTTTCCTCTTTCTTTTTCCAGGAATTGTGTACAGGAAGGGGAAGATAAGGCCATTTTTCAGAGTTCTAACTTTCAGAGAGAAATGGGAAGAGGGAAGTTGGGTCTCCATGGACCTGCATGAAGGAGATAAATCAAACCTTCTGCTGCAGAGGGAACACACATAGGCGGTCCCCTGTATACTAGGAAGGAGAGGTTGAGAAGAAATCACTATGGTGTATATAGTATCTGTGATTTTGTCTACAGTGAACTTTATTTCCTCTCTCACACATTCATTTCTGAATGGAAAGGCAAGGAAAAGGACATGGGTATTTATCCACCTGCAACAGAGACCAGACTTGTGACTGGTGGTGTAAAGTGCAAGTCCCTACTGAGCCAAACATTCAGTTCCTAGTTTAAGCCATGCTAAAATCACCAAATTTTCTAGTACAGACCCAAGAGCGGCTTCTTGAGGAGGAGACTGAAGAGACAGGAGCGCAACGGAGACTCACCTTCCTTTCTTTTTATCTTTTCTGGTGTTGCATTCAACTGACCAGAGGTTACAGCATCCTCCTGCCTCATTCCCAGACAGCTGCTGGCCCCAGCTCTTCACTTGCTTAGTTAGCAGGAGTCACTCCATTGATTACTCCAAAGGGTAAATTAGCCTGCTGGGAGGAAAAAAATAGTATTTGGACATTGTATGAGAAGACTGAAATCTAGAACTTTCTGTACTGGAACATGAGCGAATTTCAGTTCATTCAAACCTGCACTGAATGCAAAAAGCATTTTTGTAGTCTTCATAGTTCAGGGGTGATGTAATGCATACAGAGTGCTTGGGAACCACAGTAATTGCTTGGAAAAAGAATCAATTATTAATTCAAAGGCCAATTATTAATACATATAACAATATTAATTTAAATGAAGTCAAAAACATCAGACAAAAACAACGTGCACTTCCAAAAGCAGAAGATGGCCATGTGCATGGAAGCAGGGTAAGTAACTAACTGCATTAGTCTGCACTGAACTGAAAAGATAAAAAGAGCCAGGAATGAACATCCTTACCCTCCCCACTGTTACAAGCCAGCCAGAGGAAAATTAATAAAATTTGGCTTTCTAAAGAAAAGACTGATTTTTCCCCATTAGATTGAGTTTGCTTTCATTGTCCTTTAAACTTTCTGTCCTTGAATGAACTGCCAGAGGCAGTACAATAGGTACTTTAATACCAAAATTACCCCGAAAAGTAAGCTTAATCACACACCTCAAGGTTTTTAGAAAAGGGAGTGTAAAGTATTGAATATTTTGCCACCTGCATGGAAGAAATTTCTTGATCTGGAATAGCTGAAAACTTTTTTGATAACTTCCCTTTTTACTTTTGTAAATTTTTTTTTTACTTTTTAGGTGGGAATCTCCTTCCTGTGTTGTAAGTCTGCATGTCAGTCTAAACATCCCACAAAACCAGCTTAAGGACACGGTAGCAGTGCACTTCTGACCTCAGTCACTGATGCTGATGTGATAATATGATAATCAAGGTGATGCTGACGAGTGATAATGATGAGATGAGCCCTAAGCGGTGCCATGTTTTTCCCTGCTCTTCCCAGAGATCATTTGTGAGTGGGAATGCTCCTCAGTGAGGAGTACAATATGCTGCCAACATGTGCAAAAGCATGACCCAGACTTCAGAGCCCTATTTCAATGCCTGCTTTAGTCCCACGCTTCTGAAAGCTTGAGCATTTGTGTTCAAGATGAAGATGAGGGGAGGCAGCTCAGCTGACCTGCCAGCTTTAAAAAAGCACTGAAGGACTGAGTTGAGGAAAAAAAGAAAAAAAAAAAGCAAATCAGCTGGTAAAAGTGTAACTCGGAGATTTGATAGCAGCCAGGGAAGAGCATTGCAGAGTACTGATTGCAAAGTGATAGACAGAGGTTTTTATTTCACACATTGTCATTCTAATCTTGCAGTCCCAGCTTCACAATGCCAGGATGATCCCTCATACAAGGAGGAATAAAAAAGGGAGCAAAATAAAAAGGAGAGAAATAACTACACAGCCCAGGGTACAAAACATGAAAAGGGGAAGGGGCATTAGTTTAAGTGTTCAGCAATTTGCAACACAGAATTTTCATTCACAAACTGATGTTCCTGATGGTAAAGGCAAAAAGGTAGCATGAAAACCAATAGTGGTTTTTTGGCATTGTGGAAAATTTCCATCTGCAGGTGTAACTGACACAGCTGAAAGTCCAAAAGTACAAATGCCAAGAAACTCACAGGACTTTTAGACAATCAGAGGATCCTCTTTTGAGTTAGTTCCCTCTCTCTTGAAAAGAACTGGGGCCTTTCAGTGAAGAGGACGATGACATAACAAAGGCCTTTGCAGCTCTGCTTTTAGGAGCCTTCAAGAGAATGCACAGAATGAGAAAATTTCAATTTCATTCTATCCACTGAGGCATTATTGAGAATACACGAGAGCTGAAATCCTAAAAAATAATCATTGAGAGCCTCGCCATGAATGGAAACTAAGGCCTATTGGAGGAACAGGTGCTATGGAGAGCTGTTGGTGATTGAAAAATAAACTCAAGAACAGGGATGAGGGAAGGCCTGGATCTCTGATTTTCCATAGAAGAAACAGAGAATACAGTGAGAGGTAAGAAGGGATGTAATGCAAAGCAAAAAGCTGAGCAAGCAGAAATGGGAAGTTACACCCTAAGGCCAAGATCTATCCCATTGCTTCCATTCATTTGTAAAAAACATGAAAAACATAGAAGACATGGAGAGGCTAAAAGGTATTGTAGCAATGCAGATATCAAGAATAATGAGACATGAAAGAGAAAGAACAGATAACAGGAGAGTATACAGAGTAAAGGGTAAATGAAATCACTGTTCATTTGGATTCTGATTTCTGCTTTTCATCTCCATCAGGAAGATGCACCATGCATGTATATCTTATTCCCTAAAATCACCCCAGACTCTTTTTGTTATAGTCTTAAAAAAGTGCATCTTTAAACTGATGATAATCTCATGCCAGACTTAATTTCAAGACATCAACTGATCTGGAATAGAAAACTTTAATTTTCTTAGCAAAACTTTGTACCTCATGAAGATTTTATCTGTTGCTATGGCAAAGGCTTTACCCAAAGGAGTTACTTGTAGAATACCACAAGAAGGGGGAATTTTTCAGTTCCTTTCACATGCACATTTTCAGACCCTAGGCGTTTTAATTTAATCATATTTTCCCTTCATCGTTCAGAGAGCTTCTTTTATTCCCAAATAAGCTGCGTGCCTACATCAGCAGTATGGAAGGATCTAGTCTTATAATCTTCCTCATTGTAAATCAAAATCGACTTTTTAATTACAGAATATCAGCTGTTTCTCTTTGATGACATTCAAGTGCTTATTTCAAATTGAAAGAGCAATAGAGCAGCTGCCATGGTATTTTCATACGTAGAGTGATGACCTTTTTTAATATGATTTCATGGAAACAATGGAGTTACATTCATCAGGTTATATAGAAACTTGCTGCTGTTTTTTTTTTTTCAGACATTCCACTTTCAATTCACAATGACATTTGATAGAAGACATAAAAATGTCAGTAGATTAAATTTTTTTTCAACCAGCTTATCTGACAAGAATTTCCACCTCCTTGTTTCTTTTTACAGTGCTATGTTGTTCATTCATTTGGGCCTACTTCAATTTGCTTATTAAATATGTAAGAACTTCATTATGTAGCCAGGAGCTGAATCATGTAAGATTAACACAAAGCCCTTGTGAGAGGATTTTTTTTTTTTAACATTATTAATATTAATGGTATGTGCAGCTCACGTATTTTTGTACTTTCTAAACCCAAATGTCAATACAGTGGATAAATTGTACCTTCCTTCCTTGTCTTTTTTTGTCTTCTTCAAAGAAAGGATGACATTCAGCTTAACTAAAAGCAAAACTTCACACATTTCCAGCTAAGTTAAATTTTTGCATCCCAAAGGGTCATGGTTTTAATGAGCTGTTTTGCATGGCCATTGATTCAAAAGAAAGGGTAACCTGAGGAAATAGATAAGAAGCATAAGGATTTTATTCTTTGTGTTGACTTATGCAACATCATAAATTACACAGGTCTTAATCAGTAAATCAGGTTTCAGTAACAACCTAATAAGAAGTGCTACAATAGCTAACTAGTAGGAACATGGATTTGAACTCTTGCACAGAATTGAAAGAAAATTCAGATGCTCAGGTGGGATCCAAAGCAATCAGAATGTTGAGTAGGAACATCTTAGACCTAATCAGTAAGCAATATCAGGGAAGAAAAAGACATCTTTCATCCCCTTTCCTGACAGATGGAAGCCTGAAACATGCTCCTGAAATGCTGGCTTACAGGATCTTTATTTCAAAGAGCTCAGCACACCTCATTCCTTTCTTTCCAGACTTAACAGAAGGAAGTATCACGTACTTGCCCTGGATACATAAAGACTTTACAGATAAGGGTTCACTCAAGAAATGGCTTCAATTCTCTGCTATGTCTGACATGACTCAATTTCAGTTCTCAGAGAAATTATACAGTGAAACATTTTGATAATTACTGTGTTGTTGTCACTTTCCCATCTCCAGGTCTGACTTTTAAGTGCTGCTTTTGGCTCTTGGTTGCACAGACTACAGCAGAACTGGTGGATCTGTTGCTGGAAGGCAATGGCAGAGAACAGTGAGGCTTGGCTGCACTTATCACCCTTGGGCTGTGATCCTCCATAGGAGGCTGTCCTGAGGACCACATTATCAGATTACTTTACTGTCAATGTACAAACAACCTTTTTGCCCCTTTTAGAAAGGGTCCTTCTGCTCCCTTCTCTAGGACTTTTATTTATCACCATCTAAAGTACAGAACTGATTTTTAAAGCATCTTCTAACAGCAGACATCTTTTCTCACAAAAGGAGAGAGACTAGTTAACTGTAAAGCAAAATCCTCTCTCACCTCCTGTTTCATGATCAAATAATATATATATATTTTCCTCTACACAGAGACAGCTTCAAAGCGAAAGACCAACCTATACTCTGCGCCTTGTATCACTTTAGGGAGAGAAGAAATATGGAAAAGCAACAGAATCTGAGTCTTCTGTTTATTTCAAGTTTTCTACAAAAGAAAGAAAAATCATCATTACCATTTCCTTCAGCAGTGACATTAATGTTCCCTCCATGCTCACAAACTATTCTGTGCACCTGGTAATAAAATCTATGAACATTCAAATTTATATTTTAAGACCATGGTCCAGCACGAGGGAATATAAATTCACTATAATCATGTTGGACTTATGACATCGAAACTGTAGAAGGATAAAAGTGCTTTGCAGTATTATAGAGCTAATCTTAAAACCATCAGATAGGTCAGGATGAGATGGTTCTCTTCCTTCATACTGATAACAAGTGGCAGCTTGTGCATAGCTTCTACATTCTGAAATGACCATGGCAATTTTCTATCCAGTCATATCATTTAATGCAGGACATGTTTAATGTTTTTAAATATTGGGCCTTGTTTCTTTCCTTCTTTCTTGATATTCCCGTATCTTTTCTGTTTCTGAAAACTGAAAAAGAATTAAAAAAAAACCTAGTCTAGGAAAATAATATGACATAATGGAGTTGTAAGAAAGGAGCTTGTTCACGTTATACTTTCAGCTCATTCTTCAGGCTAAG